TGACGAAACCACTCCGAAATTTCCGTGAGATACAGCGTAATGAAGCGCTGTGTTCCCCTAAAAATCGATATATTGATTGATTTCAACATTGGTACTGTAGTATGTTAACTTACATTTTGATCAGTTATATTTACAACGACTTTAAGAAGTGCAGGTGACAACTCTCTTAACTGTTCAATCAACACATCAACGGCTTCGGCTTGACTATTTTTACGTGCTGCACATTTCAACCATTCATGTTGTACGTACTTCAAGGCCCAGTCCTAAATTAGAGCGTTAAGCAGTTACTTTACTCAAGACACAAAAAGGTGGCGGTGGCGGATAGATAGGTTCAAAACAAAAAGATTTTCGCTATTTATAACTCATTTTCGTTGAGGTGCTTATATTTTTTTGTGATCTGATGAAACCCCTACTGCTGTCTCTGGCGTTATTGTCCCTGGTTGAATCAGATGAGAGTTGAGACTTTCCATAGCTTCACGCATGGGGCTTGAAATTTCGTACGGAGATTCTAAATTTCGTCTTTTTGTAAATTATGCGAAACGCTTCAGTTTTTACCCATATGCTGAGCAACTTACCCTCATGATCTACGCCATCTTCATGCGTATCATAGCTACCTTCGGAATCGTCTGAATCTTCGTCAGACTCACTGAATCATGAAAAATCAATATATCGATTTGTAGGTTGCAAAGCATTAATAAACTTGCCTTCCTGTCTTGTACGGCGAATACGGTACCTGCGTATTTGAGCGGGGCCACCTAAAAAAACGATATTAAGAACTCATATTGCTCTGCTATTATTGCGAGAAGGAGTGTAACGCCGACCAATCACAACTATACCTATAACTATGATTGGTTGACATTTACGGTATGCTACAGTACTTCCTCAAACTACAGTACCTTCCAAGACTTCTGAGTTCACTTCGTAATGGGGTCAGACGATCCGCTGCCTCTTCTTCTTCGTCCGGTGTTTCAGCGCTTTCCTCTGGTACAGCGTATTTGCTAATTTTTGGACGCGGTATCCTTGCTGGGATTGGATCAGGTAAAGTAGAAGGAGGTAGAGGAACTTCCTTAAGGGGAACAAAACTATGTATATGACCTACATAGGATTAAGCATAGGTTTGCAATCGTTTACCTTTTTGAGTACCACTTTGCTCTTCAAGGCATCTGTAGTCTCACCAGATGGTGTTGTGGAAGGAGCACATGGTGCGGAAGAGACTGACTGAAAAATTCAAGGATTTTAAAGCTGAACCACATTACTTCAAAATCTCCAACATCTTCTGCATTTCTAACCTTGTTCTTCTCAGCAATATACTCCAAATCATCGCCTTTGTTTCTTTCCAAGCGAGCACTTCTAG